TGTCCGGCTTGCGGCACACGCAATAAACCGGCGCGTTCTCCTCCCCGCCCGGGGCCGCCTCCGCGTCCGAGAATTCGCTGTCCTGAGGGGGTAACGCCGGGGGGTGTCAGGGCCTGGGGGGGTCCCCCAGACACCGCAGCCCCCCTGAGACCCCCACACACCCCTGGCTCCCCCCTCCCACCATCGCTGCCGCCGCCTCCGAGGGACGCTCCCGGCTAGGCCCAACCGCGGCCGGAAGCGGGGGCGTGTCCGACTTCCGCTTCCTGATAGGGGCGCGCCCGCCCACAGCATGGCGGCTGCCAGGAGAGCAATGGCGGCGGCCATAGGGGGCTGCCATGTGTGGGGGAAGTGTCACCCGCGGTCGCAAAGAGACGCCTGAGAGACAGCAGTGGTGGCAGAACGTTTATTGGGGACATGGGGGACATCGGGATGTGAGGGGACATGGGAGACATCGGGATGTGAGGGGACATGGGAGACATTGGGGGGACATGGGGGACACATGGGGACCTGAGGGGACACGGGGGATATGGTGGGGAGGACAACAGGGAATGGGGGACATGAGAACATGGCAGGACGCAGGTGGCCCGCACGTGACACACGGAGGTGTCACACAGGTGCCACAGGTATCCCACGGGGTGTGTCCATCTCGTCCCCTGTCACTCTGGGCGAGCCTCCTGGGAGTGCTGCAGCTGCTGCAGCTCCTCTGCCAACCTGGGGGCGGGGCCAGAGAAGGGGTGGGGCCAGAGGTGGGCAGGCCCCAGGTGACAGAGCCACACCTGTCCTACACACCTGTCCCACACCTGTCCCCAGGAATCACATCCCTGTCCTGAGAGGGTCACACACCCATCCTTAGGGGTCACACACCTGTCCCAGGGGTGACACACCTGTCCCCAGGATGTCACACACCCATCCCAGCAGGTCACACACCTGCCCCAGGTGTCACACACCTGTCCCAGGTGTCACACACCTGTCACGGCGTTGCAGGCTCAGCTGCTGCCGGCCCAGCTCCACCTCCAGCTGTCGCTCCGCCCACTCCTGCTCCTGCTGCACCAATCGCCTGCAAGAATGCGGATTGGGGGGGTGGGGACAGGCTCCAAGTGGGCGGGGTCACCTCTGAGGGGGCGGGGCCAGAGCTGGGCACTCACCAGAGCACAGCCCCCTCTGGGCCCAGCTGCTCCTCGGTGTTCATCACACGGCGCTCTGGGCAAGGGGGGGACATTGGTCAGCCCGAGGGGACACACCTGGGTTTGGGGGGGCTCAGGTGTCCAGGGGGGTCACTCAGGGGCTTGTGGGAGAGGGGTTCAGGGTCAGTCAGGAGCTCAGGAGGTCACTCAGGTGTTGGCACTGAGGTGTTCAAGGGTGTCCCTCAGGTGCCCAGAGGTGTCACAGGGGTCATTCAGGTGTCAGCAGGGACACTCAGGTGCTCGAGGGGGGTCCTGGGGGGGTCACTCAGGTGTCAGGGGCTCACCCAAGCTCAGCCACTTCTCCTTCATCTTCTCCAGCTTCACCAGTTCAGCCTTCAGGTGGGCTGGAGCCTGTGGGGGGACAGGGGGGAGGGCGTGATCCTGGGGTGTGCCAGGGCACCCAGGTGTGTGTGGGACCCACAGGTGTGTGTGGGACTTCCAGGTGTGTCAGGGACCCCAGCCCAGGCCTCACGTGAGTGACACGCAGGTGCTTGAGCTCCTCCATGATGGCCTCGAGCTGCTGGCAGTGCTGCCACCTGGGAGTGAGGGGACACAGGGGGGTGACACGGTGGTCACATGACCTGTGTGGGTCACCTGGTGCCACCCCTGGCCCACCTGTGTCCCCCAGCCCCACCTCTGTTCCCGGCGCAGGTTTTTCAGCTGCTCCCACTGCTGCTTTGTCCCTTCCAGGTCCTGCTGCTGCTCCAGGCAGAGCCCACAGTGCCTGTGGGGGGGTCAGGGGGCACCAGGTGTGCTTGGGGAGGGGGTCAGAGGTCATGTGGGCACAGGTGAGGTTGGGGAGGGTCACAGGTGTCCCCACTCACCTCTGACCTTTGGCCTCCACCTCCTTCCCTTGCAGCTGTGCTCTCCGCAGTGACTCTTTGGGGGGGGGTCAGGGGGTCACAGGGGTCAGGGGGTCACAGGGGCCAAGGGGGTCCCTCTGTGAGAGGGTCCCACCCCTTCTGGGGGAGTCAGGAGGGGCCACAAGGGTCAGGGAATCATGGGGGTCAAGGGGGTCAGAGGTTCAGGGGGCATCAGGGGAGGTTTTTGGGGGGGGCCCAAAGACCCCAGGACCCCCCCAGGCTCACCCTGCACCTGCTGCCAGGTCCTCTCCAGTGCCTCCTTTTGCTGCTGCACTGTGGGGAGGGGGAAACGAGCTCAGAGCCCTCTGTCCCCACAAACCCCTCAGGGTCCCTACCCACCACCCAGCGACCCCACAAACCCCTCTCTGTGTGTCCCCAGCCCTCTCTGAGTCCCCCTCCAGAACCCTCAGGGACCCCCAAACCTCTGTGTCCCCCTCCAGAACCCTTAGGGATCCCCCAAACCTCTCAGTGTCCCCCCCAGGTGACCCACGCTGCTCCAGTTCCTGGCGCAACTCCTCACTGCAGTCCTGTGCCTTCACCAGCTCCTCTGTTGTGGCCTCACGGACTGTGGGACACGGTGGGATGGACAGAGGGACACAGGGGGACATGGCAGTCACATGAGGGAGCACAGGAGGACATGTGGGACGTGGAACGCGGGGGAACACAGGGCTCCTCACACTCACCTTTCTTCAGGCTGTGCGCCTGCCTCAGCAGCACCTCCAGCTGTGGGGTCCCCCCAGAGGGACCTGAGGGGGGAACTGGGCAGGACACAGGGCCACTGCCTCTCTTGGGGACACTTGGGACCGCCTTGTCCCTGGGGCGGGGGGACACTGGGACACACGGTGGTCTTGGGGGGTCTTGGCCATAGAACCCCTCACTGCGTGGGTCCAGGTCCATCACTGCAGCCTGGAGGGACACGGTGGGGACATAGGGGTACATGGAGGATGATGATGGTGGGCAGTGGCTTGTCCCCTCCTGTCACCTTGTCATCCTCTTCATTCCCCTTTTTCCACCCTCAGCCCCACATTTTCTGTCTCATTTCACCATTTTCTCCCTCCTTATCTCTTTCCTCTAGGGTTCCTCCCATTCCTGTCACCTGCTTCCTCCAGTTCCTGCAGCCTCTGTCCCTTCCATTTCTGCCCCTCATTTCCCCCTCAGTCCTTTCACCTCTTGGCTCCATTTTCAGTCACCAACACCCTCTTTTTACACTTTTCTGTCTTGTGTCCTTACACTTTGTCCATTTTCATCCCCCATTTCCCTTCACCTTCTTTCTACAGCTTTCTCAGCTCCTGTCCTTCCCATTCTCTCAGGTTTTTCCCTCTTCTTCCCCTCACATTTTCCCACCCTTTTCCCCCTCACGTTTTCCTGCTCTTTTCCCCTCATGTTTTCCTACCTTTTCCCCTCATGTTTTCCTGCTCTTTTCCCCTCATGTTTTCCTACCTTTTCCCCTCATGTTTTCCTGCCCTTTTCCCCTCACGTTTTCCCGCCCTTTTCCCCTCACGTTTTCCCGCCCATTCCCCCTCACGTTTTCCCGCCCTTTTCTCCTCACATTTTCTTGCCCCTTTCCCCTCACATTTTCTACTTTTTTCCCTAATTTCTCCCTAATTTTTCCCACCCTTCCCCCTCATGTTTTCCTGCCTTTTGCCCCTCACATTTTCATGCCATTTCCCTTCTATTTTTCCACCTTTCCCCTCACATTTCCCCAGCTTTTTTCCTCTCACATTTTTCCACCTCTCCCCCTCAGAACTTCCCGTCATTTTCCATCCACTCCTTGCCCTAATTTTTGTCCCCTTTTCCAGCTGTTTCTGTCCCTTCCTGATATCATTTTCTGTCCCCTTTTCACCCCCAATCTGTCACTTCTTCCAGCATATCCTCTTCCCTTTTTCTGCTCCCTTTCCTGTCTATTTTTGCTCTCCATTTCTTGTCACCTCTTCCAGCCTTTCCTGTCACATTTTCCCACTGATTTCTGTCTCCTCACCCCTCTCTTTCCTGCCCCATTTCCCCTCTTTTTTGCCTGCTCTTACCCACCTTTTCTTTAAGGTTTTCTCCCCATTTTCCCTCCCGCATTCCTCTCATTTTCAGTTCCCTTTTCCCCTTTCTCTGTCGCTGTTCTCATCTCCTCTCCCCCCTTCCCTATCCCCTCACCCCTCAGGATGTCTCCCCTGTCCTCTCACCCCTCAGGCCATGTCCCCTGATCCCCTCACCCCTCAGGATGTCCCCTGTCCTCTCACCCCTCAGGCCATGTCCCCCGATCCCCTCACCCCTCAGGATGTCCCCTGTCCCCTCACCCCTCAGGCTGTGTCCAAGCCATCCCTTCACCCCTCAGGATGTCCCCTGTCCCCTCACCCCTCAGGCCATGTCCCTGCCATCCCCTCACCCCTCAGGCCGTGTCCCCTGATCCCCTCACCCCCTCAGGCCATGTCCCCCCATACCCTCACCCCTCAGGATGTCCCCTGACCCCTCAGAATGTCCCCTCACCCTTCAGGCCATGTCCCCTCATCCCCTCATCCCTCAAGATGTCCCCTCATCCCCTAAAGATGTGCCCTCATCTCCTCACCCCTCAGGCCGTGTCCCCTGATCCCCTCACCCCTCAGGCCGTGTCCCCCAATCCCCTCACCCCTCAGGATGTCCCCTGACCCCTCAGGATGTCCCCTCACCCCTCAGGCCGTGTCCCCTCATCCTCTCACCCCTCAGGATGTCCCTGCCATCCCCTGACCCCTCAGGATGTCCCCTCACCCCTCAGGATGTCCCTGCCATCCCCTGACCCCTTAGGCCATGCCCCCTGACCCCTCAGGAAGTCCCCTCACCCCTCAGGCCATGTCCCCCCATCACCTCACCCCTCAGGCCATGTCCCTGCTATCCCCTCATCCCTCAGGATGTCCCCTCACCCCTCAGGCCGTGTCCCCTGTCCCCCCAGTCCCCCCGGAGTCAGGACTCTCCCCGGGCTCTCAGTGTTTATTGTCAGCCCTCGGGCTCGGGCCCCTCGGGGCGCGCGGGCGCGGCGCAGAACGGCGCCGGGTAGCGGATGAACAGCCAGTCCTCCTCCTTCTTGAGCCAGCGCAGCAGCTTGGTCAGCACGGCGATGGCGCCCGCCTTCGTCACCAGCGGGCTGAAGCAGCTGTACAGCTCGAATTTACTGGTCACCTGTGGGAACCCATGCCTGTTAATTGTGGGATTTACTGATGGCACTGCCAGTGAAAATCTTGTTAATTTGGGGATTTACTGACAGCACTGACACCCAAGCATTCTGTTAACTGTGGGATTTACTGATGGCACTGCCAGTGAAAATCTTGATTATTGTGGGAATCTACTGATGGCATTGCCAGTGAAAATCCTGTTAATTTTGGGATCTACTGACAGCATTGCCAGTGAGCATCCCATTAATTGTGGGATTTAGTGACAGCACCACCAGGGAACATCCTGTTAACTATGGGATCTACTGATGGCACTGCCAGTAAGTATTAGTATTCCCTTAATTGTGGGATTTACTGATGGCACTGACACTGAGCATCCCATTAACTGTGGGATTTACTGATGGCACTGACACTGAGCATCCCATTAATTGTGGGATCTACCGATGACACTGCAACCTGTTAACTGTGGGATCTACTGACAACACCGCTAAGGAACATCCCACTAACTGTGGGATCTACTGATGGCATTGCCAGTGAGCATCCCATTAACTGCAGGATTTACTGACACCACCAGTGAGAATCCCATTAACTGCGGCACCTACTGATGACACCATGTCCCATTAACTGTGGGACTCACTGATGACACCACATCCCTTTAACTGCAGGATCTACCGACAGCACCACCAGCCAGTGACCCCCACTAACTCTGGAATCTTCTCAGGAAAGCACCAACAGGTGCTGCTGCCTCTGGGCCCTGCTGAGGGCTCCTTCCCCGCGGCTCACCCAGGCCAGCAGCGTTTCCTTCTCGGCCACGTGGTAGAGCAGGCGCAGGGGCCGGTGTGGGCTGTGCACGCGGCTGTGCAGGTAGTGGTACAGGTCGAAGAGCCGGTGCTGCTCCTCCTCGCTGGTGTAGGGCTCCTCCAGCTCGGGGCTGCGGCCAGTGAGGGAGGGGGGACACAGGCGTCAGGTGAAGGTCAGGGCCACTCCCACCCCCCCAATTCTGGCGTGTCCCCCCCCCATCCGCGCACCTGGTGAACTGCGGCAGCTGCTGCATCTCCTCCGGCCCTTCCAAGGGTTTGTAGAGGAAGTGCCGGAGCTCGGGGGCGCCGGGACGGGACGGGCCGTACCCCGCTCCCCCTCGCACGGCCGCCGCCAGCTCGGCCAGCCAGCCCTGCGCCCGCAGCGTGTCCTCCAGCTGCCTCCGGCACGCAGCCGCCGCGTAGAATCCCTCTCGCTCCGTGGACAGCAGGATCAGCGTCACACCCTCCTCCTCCTCCTCGCCCAGCCGCGCCGCGTACGCATAGAAATACCCATCGGGGTTGAAGCGTGGCAAGCACACGGGGGTCCACACCTCGCCCGCCCCCGCGCCCGCCCCGCCGCCCAGCAGGTTGAGCAGCAGGTGGAGGTCGCTGGCGCAGAGCCGCCCGCCCTCGGCCAGCGCCCGCTGCCGCGCCGCCGTCACCAGGCGGCCCCGGGCCGCCAGCACGGCCAGGGCGGGCGCGGGGCGGGCGGCGGCGGCGGCGCGGCGCAGGGCCCCGGACACGGCGCGGCGGAGCCCCCCGGGCAGGGGCAGGCAGCGAGCGGCCCCCAGCAGCAGCCGCCCGTCGGCCGCGGCCCCGCAGAGCAGCCGGTCCAGCACGGCCTCGGCGCCCGCCAGCAGCCGGCGAAGGTCGAAGCCGCGGCGTCGGGCGAAGACTCGGGCGATGCCCCCGCGGGTCAGCAGCGACAGGATCTGCTCGTGAACGAAGGCCAGCTCCCGCCGCAGCTGCGCCGCCGACTGCCGTGTGCGGGACACCGACACCAGCAGCAGCGGGCCCCGCTGCTCGAACACCAGCGTGCGGTCCTCTGCGGGGGAGAGAGGGGACACGGCGGTCACACGGGGCGGGGGGACACGGAGGGTTTGGGGGTAGCCAGATGTACCTGGACATTGTGGGGTGTGGTGTTTCTGGAGAGTGGCTGTAGCAAGGCAGGGTTTTTAGGGGGGTGGCAGGAGCCAGGAAGGGGTTTGGGGGGGTAGAGAGTTTTGGGGGGCTGGTTGTACCTGGGCAGGCTGATTCGGTAGATTCAGCTGTACCTGCGAGAGGTGGTTTTGGGGCTGGGATGTTGTGTTTGGAGGGGGCTGTTTGGAGCAGGGATGGCCGTACCTGTGGGGGCTGTTTCGGGGCTACCTGGGGGTGGTGCTATGCAGGTTTGGGGTTACCCACAGGTCTGTGTAAATCTGGGGATTCTGTGTCCACTCCCCGCTGGCCCCGTACCGGAGCAGATGGCCCGGATGGCATTGCCGCCGCTCTGGATGAAGGACACAAGGGCCATCATCACACCCATGGTGGCCGCCAGCGCCTCCTCGTTGCCGTGCCGGGAGTAGATCGGCTTCCCGGCCTCGCTGAGCACGAACACGTGTTTGCGCCGCGCTCGCCAGCCCGCGGCCGCCACGTCCTCGTCTGCACCGCGCCGCCCGCCCGGCGCCGATGTGGCTGCCGCTGCCGTCACCGCCGCCGTCACCTCCTCCTCTTCCTCACCGGGGTGACACACCGGGGACGTCACTGCTGCCGTCACCTCCTCCTCTTCCTCCTCACGGTGACACTCTGGGGATGTCACTGCTGCCGTCACCTCCTCTTCACTGGGGTGACACCCTGGGGATGTCACCGCTGTTGTCACCTCCTCTTCATCCCCTACAGGAGGATGTGCTGGGGATGTTGCGTCCATGGTCATCTCCTCCTCACTGGGTTGAATGCCTGGGGATGTCACTGCTGCTGTCCCTGCTGTGGTCACCTCCTCCTCCTCATCCCCAAGTGGGGGACACCCCAGGGATGTCCCTGCTGTGGTCACCTCCTCCTCCTCCTCACTGGGATGACAGCCCTGGGACGTTGTGGCTGCTTCTGCTGTCACTGCTGCCATCACATCCTCATCCCTGCCACACGGCCCACCTTGGGATGCCATGGCCACTGCCACCTCCTCCTCCTCCTTCTCACTGGGATGGCACTTCAGGGACGCTGTGGCTGTCACCACTGCTGCCACCTCCTTGTCCTCCTCCTCCTCATTCCCAGCAGGGTGACACGCGGATGATGTCACAGCTGCCGCTGCTGTCACATCTTCCTCCTCATCGTCCCCGCTGTGGTGACAGCTTGGGGACGCCGTGTCCACTGTCCTGCCTGGCTCCATCTCTGCCTCACCTGTGACCAGCAGGGGGCGCCGGGGCGGTGCCTGCACACCTGGACAGCCCCGCCCTGCCCCACCCTGCCCTCACCAAGGGTGGGGTCAGAGCTCCTGGGCACCTGTGGGGGAGATGGGGTGGGCTCACCGGGGGCGTGGCTTCAAAGACCACACCCCCACCCCTAATCCACACCTTGTGGCCACACCTCCAGCCCCACCCAGTATGTCCCAGTCCTGGTGGTCTTTGCATATGCCACGCCCACTGACAACAAGCCACGCCCCCGCCGAGCCTCACCCCGGAACACCCCACACGTGCCTCCCAGGCCACGCCCCTAAAGTGAAAGCCACGCCCACACAGCGGAAAGCCACGCCCCAAATAACTTTAGCTCCGCCCCCGGAGCCCCCGGGCCACCCCGCCCCCTCACAAAGCCCCGCCCTCCGGCGAGATCGCCCCCGGGCCGCCCCCTCCCCACTCGGCCCCGCCCTCGTTCAGGCCCCGCCCCCAGCCGTGCCCGCCCCCACTGTCCCCGCCCCCGCGCTGTCCCCGCCCCGCGCGCGCTCACCGGCCGCGCTCCCGCTCCCGCCGCTGCCGCCGCTTCCGGGGCCGCCGCGCCGCGCGCCCCGTGACGTCACCGCGCCGCCGCATCCACCAATCACCGCGCGGCGCGGAGGAAGGGGGCGCGGCCTTCGCGGGCGCACCAATCAGCGACCGCAGGGCGGGGCCTAAGGAGTGACGCCTCTTTTGGCGGGTTCTCCCGCTCCACCCCCTTCCCTCATGACTCTCCGTGACGTCACAAAGGGGCGGGGTCAGAACGCAGCCTCATTGCGGAGGGCGGGGCCAGAGCGATCCCTATAGCGGCTATAGGCGCCTGGCCCCGCCCCCGCAGGGCCATAGGGGACCCCTCAATGTGGGGGGCAACCCTGCGACCCCCCCGGCACGGCCCCATCGCAACTTCAGCGCCTCCCGGGTGAGCCCCGGCAGCCACAGACACACCGGGGCAGCTTTGGGGCACCCCAAAAACTCTATAGACACCCCCGAAGAGCTCTAGGAACACCCCAAAAACTCTATAGGTACCCCCGAAGAGCTCTAGGGCACCCCAAAAACTCTATAGGCACCCCCGAAGAGCTTTAGGGGACCCATGCAGGGACTGTCGGGTCCATAAGGACACCAAAATCTCTACAGAGGCTCTGTGGGGTCTGTTAGAGCCCCCCCAGACTCGCTACAGGGGCAAGAGGGACCCCAAGAAGCCCTAAAGAGCCCCAAAAGAGCCCCTGCAGAGGCTGCAGTGTCTATAGGCACCCCAAGAAGCCCCAAAGAGCCCCTAAAACAGCCCCTGCAGTGTCTATAGAGTCCCTCAGGAGCCCCCCAAAGCGCCACCGGGAATTCCCAGAGGAGCTTTAGGGTCCAGCCCAGGGGCGGGGCTCCAGCCGGGGGCGGGGCTCGGGGGGCACTGAAAACCCCCCAGGTCCCCTCGGTGCCCCACACACCTGAGACCCCCCCCATCCCGGACCCCCATGGCACCTCCACCGCCCCCCGGCCACCTCAGCCTGTCCCGCGGGGTCCAGGTGAGAGAGGGGGGGGACCCCGGTTCTGGGGAGAGCCTGGGGGGCCGCGAGCATCCGGGGCGGGGTGGGGGCACGAGGGCGGCCGCGGCACTTCCTGCCCCCGGAAAGGGGAAGTGAAAGAAGGGACCCGGACGGCCGGGAGGGACCCCAAGAGCTCGGGGGGGAATCCGAGAGGTTGGGGGGACTCGGGAGCTCCGGCCGCCCCAGTTTGGGGTGGCCGCAGGTGACCCTCACCCCTGCATCCTCAGGCCCCCCTGTACCAGGACGCCGTGGCCCGCCGGGCTCTGCGGCCCGCGCTGCTCAGGTGAGTGCTCGCAGCGGGGACAGGTGAGCCAGGCAGCGGGGGACAGGTGACCCGGACAGGTGTCGCCTCCCTCGCCGCCCCTCCAGGAGCGTTTCGGTGCCGGCCGAGCCCCCCGCGCCCCCCGCCATGGACGTCACCTACGCCGTGGTCAACAAGCCCCGCCGGGGGGGCGGGGCCGCGGGGAGAGCCCCCTCCCCTTTTGGAAGAGACCACGCCCCCTTCGGAAGAGACTCCGCCCCCTCGGGCACGTGCTCCCTTCCGGGCAGCCCCGTGCGCCGCCCCTCCCCCAGCCCGGCAGGTGAGTGGGGGGGGTTCGGGGGGGTTTTTGGGGGGCTCAGGGGTCCCCAGGATCGATAATTCTGACCCTGGTCCCCCCCCGCCCCCCAGGCTCCCCCAGACCCTCGGATGGCGCCTACGAGGTTGTGACCCCCCCCCGCGGACACCGGCAGCGGCCCCTGCCTGGGTGAGCATGGGGGTCCCTGGTGTTCTGGGGGGGGGGTCTCAGTGATTGGGAGGGGTTTGGGGGGTCCTGGGGGGACATCAATGTCCAGCCCCCCCTCACTGACCCCCACTCCTCCCCTCAGGGTTTAATTTCCGCATCGGGAAGCCCAAGGGCCCGCGGGACCCCCCGGCTGAGTGGTCCCAGGTGTGAGGGGGGGTCCGGATCCCTGGGCCCCCCCCACACAGAGGAGGGGCTGCAGCAGAACCCGCCTGACCCTTACAGAACCCGATATAGACAAAACCCATTTATTATGGCAAAAAATAAAAACCGATTGTGAGAAACCCAGCCGTGCCTGGGCCGGTCCAGAGGGGTCTCAGCTGCCGAGGTGGTCTCAGGTGTGCAGGTGGGTCCCACCTGGGGGGGTCCTGGGGGGCTCAGGTGGCGCTGAGCAGGCGGCGTTTGGGGGCCGTGGCCGTGTACGGGTGCCAGCGCCACTCCACGTCGGCCGCGTCCCCCTGCTCCAGGGTCCCCAGGCGGATCAGGTAGGCTGGGGGGGAGGACACGGGGAGGGGTTGGTGGGACATTGGGGACATTTTTAAGGTTGTTGGGGACAGCGGGGGACACTCACGCCTCAGCTGGAATCGGGGTCCCACCTCCTCCAGCTCCACCGTGCGCCCCCGGCGCCGGTACACGTGGTTCCTGTGGGGAGGGGGGGGGTCAGAGGGGCCTGAGGGGGGTCTGTCCGTGTTCCCGTGTCCCCCATGTGTCCCCCATGTGTCACCCACCGCACTAAAATGACGTCGTCCTCGTTGGCGAAGGTCACCACGCGGCGGCTGTCGGCACGGGGAACGGGGAACAGGTGCTTCAGGATGGTCCCGACCTAGAGGGGGCACAGGGATGGGGGCAGAGATGGGCTCACCCCACCCCTGGCGCCTCCCGTGTTCCTCCCCGGTGTCCCCATTTCCTCCCCGTGTACCCCCCAGGTGTGCGTCCCCCTTTCCCCTCCTGTCCCCCTATTGTCCCCCCAATGTCCCCAGTGTCCCTCCAGCCTTACCCTTTTCCCCAGCGTGGAGTCCAGGCGCAGCAGCAGCAGGTGGGGGGCGGCCAGCGGGGCCCCCCCGAGCCCCCCGACCTCCTGGCGCAGCACGGCCCCGCTCAGGGTGAAGTGGGCAGTGGGGCCGTGGGGCAGGTGAGACACGGTCAGCCCGTCTGGGGGGGTGGAGCTTGATGAGGACACACCCATAAACAGGCCACACCCCCTTGGGATTAGCCCCACCCACTCCCCTTGTCCCTCAGGTTTTAGGTTTTATGCTTTTCAGATTCTGTGCTGCTTTAATGTGTGGGTCTGAGCTTGATATTAAATGTTGGTGGGCTCTCTGCACAGACAGGACACAAAACAATTCCTTATTCCTTCTCTGGCTGGGGAGCAAGGACAGTGATCAAAATCGCAGGCCCGAGAACATAAAACAATTTGGATTGAAAAGAGAAAAACAAGAAAGATGGAACTTCATAACCTAAAGCCATAATTAGACAATTAACTCCAATATGCAAATGGAGCAGGACTTATAAAAATGAGAGACCCTGGGACCAGTTGTCCGTTTTGTGACCATTTAGGTCCATCTTGGGTTCATTTTGTGATCATTTTGGTTCATTTTGTGACCATTTTGGTTCATCTTGCGTTAATTTTTGTGACCAGTTTGGTTCATCTTGGGTTCATTTTGTGACCATTTTGGTCCATCTTGGGTCCATTTTGTGACCGTGTGGGTCCATCTTGGGTTCATTTTGTGACCAGTTTGGTCCATCTTGGGTTCATTCTGTGACCATGTGGGTCCATCTTGGGTTAATTTTGTGACCATTTTGGTCCATCTTCAGTTCATTTTGTGACCATTTTGGTTCATCTTGGGTTCATTTTGTGACCAGTTTGGTTCATCTTGCATTAATTTTGTGACCACGTGGGTCCATCTTGGGTTCATTTTGTGACCATTTTGGTTCACCTTGGGTTCATTTTGTGCCCAGTCTGCTTCACCTTGGCTGCAGCTCTCGTGCTGCCCAAGCTGCATCCACTGAGAATACCCTTTTAACAAATCCCTACTTTATTATCAATTAACCCAGCCTAGCTCTGTGCTACCTCAGCCTTCCAGGGCACTTCCCCAGGCCCTCCCCTCCCAGCAGAGACCCCAGAAGGCGCCCCCAGCCCCCCCATTTGGCACTGACCGGGCCGCCCGCGGGTCTCGTGCAGCACCAGCAGGTCGGTGACGCCCGCGGCCCGGCACGCCGCCACCAGAGCGCCCAGCTCGGCACGGCCGCGGTTCATGCGGCGAGCCCCGGGCAGCAGCAGGCACAGCTCCTGGGGACAGGGACACGGGGACACGGGGACACGGGGCGGGCTCAGTGACAGCCCTGCCACGCCCTGTTGGTGTCACCCCTTCGCACAGCGTCCCCCCCGCTTGGGACACTGCAGCGTCAACAGGTCCCCCAAATCACCCCCCCCTGTGTTCCCCAAATCACCCAAATCACCCCGTGTCCCCCAAATCACCCCCCTGGTGTCCCCCAAATCACCCCCCCCCTGTGTTCCCCAAATTACATCTCCCATGTCCCCCAAATCACCCCCCTGGTGTCCCCCAAATCACCTCCTCCATGTCCCTCAAATCACCCCCCTCATGTCCCCCCAAATCACCTCTCTCATGTCCCCCAAATCACCCCCTGTGTCCCCCAAATTACGTCTCCCATGTCCCCAAAATTAGCTGTCCCATGTCCCCCCAAATCACCCCCCTCATGTCCCCCAAATCACCCCCCTCATGTCCCCAAAATTACCTCTCCCATGTCCTCCAAATCACCCAAATCACTCCCCTCATGTCCCCCAAATCACCCCGTGTCCCCCAAATTACGTCTCCCATGTCCCCAAAATTAGCTGTCCCATGTCCCCCAAATCATCCCCACCATATCCCCCAAATCACCCCCTGTGTCCCCAAATCACCTCTCCCATGTCCTCCAAATCACTCCCCTCATGTCCCCCAAATCACCCCCTGTGTCCCCCAAATTACCCCCTCATGTCCCACAAATTACCTCTCCCATGTCCCCCAAATCACCGCCCCCTCATTGTCCCCCAAATCACCTCTCCCATGTCCCCAAATCACCCCCCTCATGTCCCCAAAATCACCTCTCCCATGTCCCCCAAATTACCCCGTGTCCCCAAATCACCTCTCCCGTGTCCCCAAATCACCTCCTCCACATCCCCCAAATCACCTCTCCTGTGTCCCCCAAATAACCCCCCTCATGTCCCCCAAATCACCCCCCCATGTCCCCCCAAATTACCCCCTTGTGTCCCCCAAATCCTTGCGTGTCCCCCAAATCACCTCCCCTCTATTCCCTAAATCCTCCCTGAGTCCCCCAAATTACCCGCCAATTACCCCATTACCCCCCCAAATCACCTTCCCCGTGTCCCCAAATCACCTCCTCCATGTCCCCTAAATCATCCCCAACCATTGTCCCCCAAATTACCCCCCCTGTGTCCCCCAAATCACCTCCCCCTGTGTCCCCAAATCATCCCCAACCATGTCCCCCAAATCACGCTGTGTCCCCAAATCACCGCCCCTGTGTCCCCAAATCACCCCCCCATGTCCCCAAGTCTGTGTCCCCCTGTGTCCCCCTAGCACACGGTGACAGTGACACACTCATCCCCTGGCTCCGCCCCTTCACCATTTAAGGGTCACTATGAGCCACGCCCACTTTCAGGCCACACCCACAAAGACTCCTCCCACTCCTGTGGGTTTCACGGCCCAGCATTGGCTCATCCCTAGCACAGCCCTCAAGGGGTGGGGCCAACTAACTCCCTCCACTTTCAAACCACACCCACCCTTGTTCGAGGCCACACCCCCATGGGAGGAGCCACAAGGGGTGGGGTCAGGGTGCTGAGGCTGGGCCACGCCCACCCAAAACTGGCCCCACCCACTCATGAGCCCCACCCAAACAAGCCCCACCCACCCCAGACCACACCCGAATCCAGCCACACCCATCCAGAGCCACACCCGAAACCTGGCCACGCCCACCTTGGCAAAGAGCCGCAGGCGGGCGCTGGGGTCACGTGACGTCGTCACCATCACCTTGGGAGCCTCCAGCCCCGCCCACCTGTACTCGTCATCCTGGCTGTCACCTGTCTCTGGGGGGCGGGGCTTTGTCAGGCCACACCCACCTTCATTCCCAGCCCCACCCAGTGCAGCCACACCCACCCCAGGGTCATTGGGGTCAATCCAGTGATGGTTCTGGGGGGATTTTGGGGATTTAATTTCCAATTTTGGGGGGATTTATGGCCCAGTGAGGGAGGAACGAGGCCCAGATTTGGGGTACAGCCCAGACTGTGGGTGTTGGTGCAGCCCCACACTCATTTTGGGGTGAATTTAATCTTATCTGTGGAATTTAAACACCCAGAGAATTTGAGGAAACTCTCGAAACTGGAGACAAATTTTTTAAAGTCTTTTTTTGGGCTGCCTCCCTCCTGTCCCTGGATTCCCCTCTCCCCATTTTGGGGTCCAGCTCATTCAAAGGGTCTTGCCTGTCCCCAACCCCTGGGTTTGGAAATTCCAAACTCTTCCAATTTGGGGGTCCCTTTCCCCACCTTTTCCCCCCCGATTTGGGGGTCCCTTTTCCCCTGATTTGAAGGTCCCTCTCCCCATTCCTCCCCCTGATTTTGGGGTCCCTCTTGCCCGATTTGGGGGTCCCTCTCACCCCCTGGTGCCTGGAAGTCGAACTCGAGCTCCTTCTGCAGGGCCAGCGCCTCGTGCCGCAGCTCCGTGGGCAGCAGCCGATTCTCTGGGGGGTGAGGAGAGAAACGGGGGGGGCTCAGGCAGGACCCCCAACCCTCCCAATGCCAATGCCCCAACCCCAAATAACCCCCTGGGCCCCACAGCACCCCCATCTCATCTCTTTAACACCCCCAAATAACCCCTTAAACTCCTCTCTACCGCCCCAGAATTCTCCTCAACTCCTCCAAATCCTCTTTGCCGCCCCCAACTCCTTTTTCACACACCCGGAATCTCCTCTAACACCCCTCAACTCTTCCCAAAACCCCCCCAAATTCTTCCCGGCCCCTCTTCACCCCTCTGGCTGCTTTTTTCCCCCTCCCAGCCCCCTCTCCTCGCCCCCTTCCCGTGCCCCTCCGGTACCGTCCAGCGCCCGCTTCAGGCTCTCCCTTCGCTCCCGCTGCCCGCTGCTGCTGCTGCTCCTTGGCCCGGCGCTGCAGGTACTCCCCGGCGCTCCCGGGCCTGGCGACGCAGCTGCGACACGGGGACACACACGGGGACACACTCAGGTGACACACACAGGTGACACACGGGGGGATGCGGGGAAGGGCCCGGTGAGGGGGATATGGAGGAATGAGAGGATGGCGGGCACTGAGGGGGAGGCATGGAGGGATGTGGGACAGCGGCGACATCGGGGGACATCAGGGGACAGCGCACACAGAGTGAGGGACGCGTGAGGGGAGATACGGAGACACTGGGCGGGGGGGAGGGCCCGCTGTGGGGGCCGGGGAAATGAGAGGTTGGAGGACACGGAGGAGAGGTTTGGGACGTCATGTGGGACACGACAGGGACACGGGGACACGATGAGGACACAGGACCACCGACCCAACCCCCGGCCCCTCACCATGGTCGCGATCGCTCCGCTCCGCGATGCTCCTCACACGCCGGCACCTCCCAGCATCGCCGCCTCCCATTGGCCGAGCGCCGGCGGACCAATGGGAGCGCGCGGTGCTGCCGGAAAGGGGAGGAACCGCTGCGCCCTCACGCAAGATGGCGGCCGGGTCGGCGTCACCCAGCTGAGCTGCCGGCCCCTCATGCAGGCCCCGCCTCCCGGGCTGCGGCGCCCGCTGATTGGTCGAGAAGGTGCCGGGGCGGGCTGGGATTGGACGAGGCGGGGCCGGGCCTGAGGCCGCGGTGAGGGCGGCGATGGACGGTGAGGGAGGGCCGGAGGCTCCGGGGGTCTCTGGGGCTCCCGGGGATGTTTTTAGGGCTCTCCGAGGGTTATGGGGGGGTTTTCAGAAGATCGGGAGCGTTTTGGGGATTCAGGGATCCTGAGGGTTTTTTGAGCGGGTTTTCGGGGGCCCAGAGGAGTCTTGACGGGGTCTCTGAAGGGCCCGGAGGTGTCTGGGGGGGTTCCGGGGACATGGGTGACACTGTGGGGACACCGGGCCGGTCCCTGTGCGGGGCGGTTTTTGGTGGTTCTGGGGGAGCCCCTGGGGTCCCCCCCGGGTGTTGTTTGGGGTCCTGAGCCGTGTCCCCCCACCCCAGGGTCGCTGTTGCTGTCCCTGGACGCGGCCGCGCTGGAGGTGATGGAGGCGCTGGAGCTGCTGCAGCAGCGGCGGGAGCAGCTGGAGCAGCACCTGCGGCAGGTGAGGGGACACAATGGGGGACACTACGGGGACACGCCACCCTTCGCGGGGACACGTGTGAGGAGGTGCCACCTGCCACAGAGACACACCCTGGCGGGTGTCACCCGCTACAGCGATGTGCCAACCACCCAATAGGACACAGCTGGGGACAGTCCCCTGCTGTGGGGACATGGCTGGGGACACACCACCCATCATGGGACATCTTGAGGGGACGTGTCACCCACTGTGGGGACACAAAGGGACACGCCACAATGTCCCGTGTCCCCCCGTGTGACTGTCCCTAATGCCATGTGCCTCTGTCCCATTCAATGTCCCCCCTGTGTCTGTGTAGGGGTGGCTGTCCCTGTGCTGTGTCCCCAATGTCCCTGCAGGGGTGGCTGTCCCCATGCTGTGTCCCCAATGTCCCTGCAGGGGTGGCTGTCCCTGTGCTGTGTCCCTGATGTCCCCAATGTCCCCACAGGGGTGGCTGTCCCTGGCTCAGGCCCGTTACTCTCTGGGATGTCACCGCGTCTCCTCCCTGCAGTACGGGGCCACCATGGTTGCCCCGAGTCCGTGTGTGCCACAGGTGGGGGACAGGGACACTGGGGAGGGGACACTGGGACATTGGGGACACACTCAGGGGGGTGGCAGGGACACAGAGAGGGACACTGGGGACACTCATTGGGGTGACAGGGACATGGGGGGGACAGTGGGACATTGGGAGGGACACTGGGGACACACTGAGGGGGGGTAGCAGTGACACAAGGAGGGACATGGGAACATTGGGGACACACTGAGGGGTGGTGGCAGTGACACAAGGAGGGACATGAGGACATTGGGGAACACACTGAGGAGGGTGGCAGTGACACAGGGAGGGACATGGGGATGGGGACATCAGGGACCCAACCCCAGTGTGGGGAGGTGACACGGGGGTGACATCAATGTCCCCAGTGTGGGGGAAGTTTAGGAGTTCTGGGATGCCCCTGTGGTGGCCGAGTGCCACCCCAGGACATGGTGGTGACGCTGTCCCCACTGTGTCACCCCCAGGCAGGACCCAGAGGGACGCCCCCACTTTGAGGAGGTGCCTGGAACAGGGGGGGACCCCGAGGACCCCGACCCCCCAGCAGGGGGGGGGTGATGGTGAGGGGGGGTTTGGGGGTCCCTTGGGGGGGGTCCCCAGAAGGTCCCCAGTGGGTGTTGGGGACAGACTGGGGGGTCTGGGGATGTCACCCATGGGTGCTGGGGGGGCAAGGGAGGAATTGGGGAGGGGGGAATTTGGGGTGCTGGGGGGGTTCTGAGGGGTCCTGTGGGTGTTTGGGGGGGTTCTGAGGGGTCCTGGGGGTGTTTGAGGGTCCCTCAGTTGTTTTTTTGGGGGGGGTCTCTGACCTTTCTCTCTCCCCCAGGGCTGCGGCAGCGCCGGGGAGCCCCTGAAAAAGGGGGGACCCCCAGCCGCCCCCCCCCAGACCCCCTGGGCTGGTTTGGGGTCCTGGTGCCCCCCAGTCTGAGGCAGGCGCAGGGAAGCTTCCAGAAGGGTGAGGACTGGGTGGGAGGACTGGGAGGGAACTGGGGGGGAACTGGGAGGAACTGGGGGGGAACTGGGAGGAAACTGGGAGGGACTGGGGGGGAAACTGGGAGGGACTGGGAGGAAATGGGAGGGATGGGGGAGAACTGGGAGGGAACTGGGAGGAACTGGGAGGAAATGGGAGGAAATGGGGGGGACTGGGAGGAACTGGGAGGAAATGGAGGTGACTGGGAGGAACTGGGGGGACCCCAAAAACCAGCAAAGGTCCCCAAACCCAGAGGGACCCAAGAACGGGGGGAAAACCCCAAATCTGGGGTGTCCCCAAACGTCGTGGCCCCCGTGACCTCCTCGGTCGCCCTGGTGTCCCCCTGTCCCCAGGGGTGACGCTGGCCGTGGAGGTGGCCGAGCTCCAGGCCACCATGGAGGCGGCGGCCGCCCGGTAACCGGCAGCTCCTGCGGCAGAAACGTCACCTGGATGGGGACAATGGGGACAGCGGGGACAGCCCTGAGCTCCACGGGAAGCCCTGGGGACAGCAAGGACACCGAGGGTGGCAGAGTGACCTCAGTGACTGCGTGAGACGAGGACACGTCTGCAGGTGACGCGTGGGGACACAGGTGACACTGTGAGCCATGGGGACACAGGTGACACGGTGACCTTTCACAGGTGACACTGTGAGCCATGGGGACACAGGTGACACGGTGACCTTTCACAGGTGACACAGCTGCCACCGGTGACACGGAGGACAGCAGCACCTGCCTGTGGGTGACACCAAGTCCCCAAGGCCTGCGGGTGGCACTGAGGTGACACCAGGTGACACTGAGGACTTTGCAGGTGACACCGAGCCCAGCAGGTGACTGAGGGTGGTTCCCCCATGTCCCCACCCCCAATAAAGTCACCCTGGTGCCACCACAGGGTCACACGTTATTGCTGTCTGTGACAGATGTGCCAGTGCCACCATAGCCAATGCCACCACGGAATAATGTGTCACCTCTGTCACATGCTGGCTGTGCCAGTGGCACTGTAGGCTCATTTGTCCCTGCTGTCACATGCCAGCCACAGCAGTGCCATTGTCACTGGTGTCACATGCTGGCCATGCTGGTGGCACCATGGGATCATTTGTCACCACTGTCACATGCCAGCCATGGCAGTACCATTGTCACTGCTGTCACACGCTGGTGGCACCACGGGCTCATTTGTCCCTGCTGTCACATGCCAGCCACAGCAGTGCCATTGTCACTGCTGTCACATGCTGGTGGCACCACGGGCTCATTTGTCCCTGCTGTCACATGCCAGCCACAGCAGTGCCACCATAGGGTCAATTGTCACCTCTGTGCTGTCACATGCCGGCCCTGCCAGCGCCACGTGACTCAGACACGCCCCCTTTTTGCCAAGGTCTATGTTTATTGGGCGGGGCCCTCGCCCCGCCCCCAGACCCCGCCCCCACCCAGGGGGCGGGGCCGACACAACAACGACTATGGGAGAGGGGCGGGGCGTGACGGGGCGTGGCCTGTGCGGGGGGCGTGGCCGGGCGGAGGGGCGGGGCCGGGCGCCCCCTAGCGGATGGTGTAGCGCACGTAGGGCACCTCGATGTCGGCGTCGCTGTCGTCGTTGCAGCACAGCTCGAACACCAGCGCCTTGACGTGGCGGCCCAGCTTCTTCTTGGACACCCGCGTCACGATCTCTGTCATCCTGCGGGGACAGGGGGGACATGGCAGGGACAGGGGACACGGCCTCTGTCATCCTGCGGGGAGAGGGGGGACATGGCAGGGACAGGGGGCACGGCCTCTGTCATCCTGTGGGGACAGGGGGGACATGGCAGGGACAGGGGGCACGGCCTCTGTCGTCCTGTGGGGATGGGACAGGGGACATGGCAGGGACAGGGGGCACAGTCTGTGTCATCCTGCGGGGACAGGGGGGACATGGCAGGGACAGGGGGCACAGTCTGTGTCATCCTGCGGGGACAGGGGACTTGGGGACACGGCAGGGACAGGGGGCACGGCCTCTGTCATCCTGTGGGGACAGGGGACATGGCAGGGACAGGGGGCACGGCCTCTGTCATCCTGCGGGGACAGGGGGGACATGGCCTCTGTCATCCTGTGGGGACAGGGGATATTGCAGGGACATGGGGGCATGGTCATCCTGGGGGGACAGGGTGGGAGATGGGGTTTGGTCTCTGTCATCCTGCAGGGACATGGGGGACATGGCCTCTGTCATCCTGAGGGGACAGGGGACAGCGCAGGGACACGGGTTACATGGCAGGGACATGGGGGACATGGCCTCTGTCATCCTGAGGGGACAGGGGACAGCGCAGGGACACGGGGTACATGGCAGGGACATGGGGGACATGGCCTCTGTCATCCTGAGGGGACAGGGGACAGTGCAGGGACATGGGGTCTCTTGTCAGCGTATGGAGACCGGGGGACACGGCAGGCAGGGAGATGTGACACAGACTCTGGGGACAGGGAGGGAGTGCCAGGGCACACATGGAGGGGACACTGCCACGCCCTGTCCCCACCCCTGGGACATTTCCCCCACCTCAGGGCTGCATTCTTGTCCCCAGGACATGTCCCTGCCACAGGCTGTGCCCTTCCTCCAGCCCCACCTGTGTCCCCAGTGTCCCCAGCATCCCCCAGTGTCCCCAGCATCCCCCAGTGTCCCCAATGTCCCCCAGTGTCCCCAGTGTCCCTACGGTTGGTCGTGGCGCTCGCGCAGCTTGGCGGCCGGCATGAAGAAGGAGTAGAGCATGGACACGCCCTGGGACAGCATGGTGATCTCCAGCCGGTGCTCCTTCTGTGGGGACACGGGGACATCGGCCACCATGGGGCACCCATGGCCTTGGGGACATCGGCCACCACGGGAACCCTGTGGCCTTGGGGACATCGGCCACCACGGGAACCCTGAGGCCTTGGGGACATTGGCCACCATGGGGCACACATGGCCTTGGGGACATCGGCCATCACAGGAACCCTGAGGCCTTGGGGACATTCGCCACCAAGGGGCACCCACGGGAACCTCATGGCCTTGGGGACATTGGCCACCATGGGGCACACATGGCCTTGGGGACATCGGCCACCACAGGGGTCAGCAAGGCTTGATGACATCGGCCACCACAGGAACCCTGTGGCCTTGGGGACATTGGCCACCATGGGAACCCTGTGGCCTTGGGGACATCGGCCACCATGGAGCACACATGGCCTTGGGGACATCGGCCACCACGGGAACCCTGCGGCCTTGGGGACATTGGCCACTGCAGGGGTCAGTAGGGTTTGGGGACATCGGCCACCATGGGAACCCTGTGGCCTTGGGGACATCGGCCACCATGGGGCACCCACAGGAACCTCATAGCCTTGGGGACATTGGCCACCATGGGGCACACATGGCCTTGGGGACATCGGCCACCACAGGGGTCAGCAAGGCTTGGGGACATCAGCCACCACAGGAACCCTGCGGCCTTGGGGACATTGGCCATCGCAGGGGTCAGCAGGGTTTGGGGACATTGGCCACCACGGGAACCCTGTGGCCTTGGGGACATTGGCCACCACAGGGCACCCACAGGAACCTCATGTCCTTGGGGACATCGGCCACCACAGGGGCGTGACCTTTGCCCTCTTCCCAGCACTCCCCTTTTGGTCAGGGGTCCCTCAGTTGTTGCCTGCCCCCATCCCAGTCCCTCCCAGTCCCTCCCAGTTGCTCCCAGTACCTTGAAGTAGGCGAGGAACTGGCGCAGCGTCATCTCCTGCCCGTCGGGCTGCAGCCCCTGCACCTCGAACCGGTCCCACAGCGTCCACTCCACCTCGTAGTACTGGGGACACGGTGGGGACAGTCAGAGCCACGGGGGGACCCCAAATCCCTGCTGGGAGTGACCCCTGCTCCGCTGCGACCCCAAATCCCTGCTGGGAGTGACCCCTGCCCCACTGTAACCCCAAATCCCTGCTGGGAGTGACCCCAGCCCTGCTGCGACCCCAAATCCCTGCTGGGAGTGATCCCTGCCCCACTGCGACCCCAAATCCCTGCTGGGAGTGACCCCAGCCCTGCTGCGACCCCAAATCCCCTCTGGGAGTGATCCCTGCCCCACTGCGACCCCAAATCCCTGCTGGGAGTGACCCTGGCCCCACTGTGACCCCAAAGTCCTGCTGGGAGTGACCCCTGCCCTGGTGTGACCCCAAATCCCCCTTCCCCACACCCCCTGCCCCACTGCGACCCCAAATCCCCTCTGGGAGTGACCCCTGCCCCACTGCGACCCCAAATCCCTGCTGGGAGTGACCCCTGCCCCACTGCGACCCCAAATCCCTGCTGGGAGTGACCCCTGCCCCACTGTGACCCCAAATCCCTGCTGGGAGTGACCCCAGCCCCACTGTGACCCCAAATCCCCCTTCCCCACACCCCCAGCCCCACTGTGACCCCAAATCCCTGCTGGGAGTGATCCCAGCCCCACTGTGACCCCAAACCCCCTCTCCCCACACCCCCAGCCCCACTGTGACCCCAAATCCCTGCTGGGAGTGACCCCTTCCCCACTGTGACCCCAAATCCCCTCTGGGAGTCACCCCTGCCCCACTGTGACCCCAAATCCCCTCTGGGAGTCACCCCTGCCCCACTGGTCCTGCTGGGAGTGACCCCTGCCCTGGTGTGACCCCAAATCCCCCTTCCCCACACCCCCAGCCCCACTGTGACCCCAAATCCCCTCTGGGAGTGACCCCTGCCCCACTGTGACCCCAAATCCCTGCTGGGAGTGATCCCAGCCCCACTGTGGCCCCAAACCCCCTCTGGCCACCCCCCAGCCACCCCAATCCCCCCAGTGCTGTTGCCCCCCAGCCCCACTGTGACACCAAACCCCCTCCGGCCGCCCCCTGCCCCACTGTGACCCCAAACCCCCTCTCCCCACACCCCCAGCCCCACTGTGACCCCAAACCCCCTCCTGCTGCCCCCCAGCCACCCCAATCCCCCCGGTGCCGATGCCCCCCGGCCCTGGCAGTGCCCACCTTGTTGCGGGGGCAGGCGAGGGGCTCGGAGAAGCCCACGAAGGGCAGGGCCAGGTTGAGGAAGGCGTTTTTGTAGGAGCTCAGCCGGCGGTGCCCCTGCACCAGCTTGAAGAGCTCCAGGCACGCCAGGCCCACCACGGCCGCCGTGGTGGTGGCGATGGCCGGGATGATCTTCCCCGCGATCAGTTTGCTCTGGGGGGAGAAAGACACAAAAAAAAAAACAATAAAAAAAAAGGGATTTAGGGTTTGGGGGTTTGGGGGATGGTCCCAAAAAATCAGTCTGAGTGTCTCACAGAACCATAAAGGGCACAAGGACACAGTGGGGTCTGTATGGGTTCTGTGTGTGCCCCACACATCCCAGAATAAGCCCTGGAATATGCCAAAGCACCCCCCAGCACCCATAAAAACCTTACAGCATCCCATAATAACCCCTGGAATACCCCAAAGCACACCCAGCACCCGTAATAACACCATAAAAACCTTACAGCACCCCATAATAACCCCCATAAACACCCCAAAGCACCCCATAATAACCCTCCTCCAGTCCCTCCCCAGTGCCCCCAGTGTCCCCCAGTCCCTCCCCAGTGCCCCCAGTATCCCCCAGTCCCTCCCCAGTATCCCCCAGTCCCTCCCCAGTGCCCCCAGTACCCCCCAATCCCTCCCCAGTGCCCCCCCAGTGCTCCCCAGTCCCTCCCCAGTATCCCCCACCTCCTCCCCAGTGCTCCCAGTACCCTCCAGTCCCTCCCCAGTGCTCTCCCAGTGCTCCCAGTGTCCCCAGTCCCTCCCCGGTCCCTCCCCAGTGCTCCCAGTATCCCCCAATCCCTCCCCAGTGTCTCCCAGTCCCTCCCCAGTACCCTCCAGTCCCTCCCCAGTGCTCCCAGTATCCCCAGTCCCTCCCCAGTGCTCCCAGTGTCTCTCAGTCCCTCCCCAGT